ATTTTGGCTGTCCCTACTAATCATTATATTCCCTTGTTTTTATTAGCGGAATATATTGATTAATTTATTTAAATTTTTATAATGATCAAAAAAAATTTTTTTATGTTTTATTATGGACTGTGATTAACAAATTTTTAGAAATCTATACGAAAAATCCCAGTTCAGTAACATTTATAATTCCAAAAAAAAATATTAAAAATTCCAAAAAAAGTTAAAAAAATTAAAAAAAAATACAAAAAATTCTTTCACTTTAATTCTATTTATTTTTATTTAAAATTATTTCTTAAATTATTTTATCTTTCATTTGTAAGCATTTTTTAAAAGGATAAAAATTTTTTCGGGAATTATTATTTTTTAATTAATTTAAACAATTGAAGCATATTAGAATATAATTATTTTAATTATTCATTTTTTAAATAACGTAAATGTTCCAATAAAAGCCCATGCCCTATTAGAAGCACACTCAATAAGACCCATTGAAAAATAGACGCCCGGGCTTCTATTGAAACATTACGGTATTAGGCTTAATTTAAAATTCAAAATATTATTCTTAGAAACAAAATATAACTATCAACTTGTGAGAGTCGTCTAGGTTCCAACGAGGTACCAAGACTACAACCTCGCTTTTCTCATATAGATCTTAAATCCCTATCTGAAATACTACCAAATGATCTTCCAATATATTTTCTTGAATATATTGGAAGATAAATATTTAAATTTAATATTTTTATAAAGTAAAGAGCATTCCTCAACAAAAATCAGTGCCTTCCTCTACAAATGTTGCTTTTGGTAGAGGATTAAATCTTAACTCCATATCTGAATACCTACACTACAACCTCTTCCAATATTCCAAAATATATTTATCTACCAATATATAAACCCACAAATAAGCATTTTCCAATTCGAGCACCTCAATTTAATTTTTGCAAATTTTGTACATAAACCCCCTCTAAAAAATCCATACTTGGCACACAGTTACAATTTACATTTCTACAGTTGAAAACAACTCTTCGACTATTTTGAGTTGAAGTATTAAAAACTGAAACGACAGAAGTTGAAATTATTAAATCTCTTCGATTATTATTAGCTAATTGTCCAGCACTACCACTTTTTCGAATTATTGCTTTATTATTTTTATTTAAATAATTTTGTTTTTCATTTAACTGTTGTTGTTGTTTTCTACGTTTAATTGTTATTCATTCCTCTACCAAAAGCAACATTTGTAGAGGAAGGCACTGATTTTTGTTGAGGAGGCAACTTGCTCAAGGAGGCAACTTGCTATTCGCTCAAGCAGTTTACTAGTTACATCATTTCTCTCTAATTACTCTTTTACTTATTTCATTTTTATTGACAATTAATCTTTTAATTAAAGATAATGAGAGAGACAAAAACAATTTAATTAAAATAAAATATTTTAAAATTAAAATCATTTAATCGTTGATTACCCCAAGGTTTTGCTTTGTCTTATTTATACAAGTTTTGGAAAATTAAAAAAAATAACTTGTTGTTGAAATTTTAATTTAATTTCAAATTAAATTTAATTTCAATTCAGTTTTGCCACTTTTATGTTTGTTCAACTAAATCTTTACGGTCATTTTATTTTCGGTAAAATACCGATACCGCAAAATACCGAGGTATTTTTGATTGAGGCGGTACAACTTAAGCACAATAACTTCGTTTAAACTAGAAGAAACATAATAATTTTGATGTTTTTTGACTCAGCTCGAAGTGGTGAGTCGGATTAAACATAAATTTTTAAATTTCAAATTTTTGCCCCATATTCGACTTGGTCGAATTCGGGTTCGGGGTTCGAAATAAACAAATTTTAAGCTCAGATTAAGACTCAGCACACTCGATTACCTAACGGCAAGCCCTAAAAATATCAAAAGTGTACTTATTTAGCATTTTTTTCCTAGGGACCAATGATCTTGAGGATTACCGAAAGTCCCGGAAAGAAAATGAGAATGAAACATGAAAATTTGTCAAAAATTCCCCATTTTCACTCTATTATAAAGAAGAAAACCTTTAAGTTGTTCTTTTAATGATTTAATGCTAATATAAACATTATTTAAAAAATAATTAGTTAAATGTGCAAAAGATTAGAAATATTTTCTTTTGTTGGCATTCTAGGATATTTTTCAGTACAAAAACGAGCCATTCTTTTAAAATAAGAAAATATTTTTCTTTAATTCTTTTTCACCTTCTCTGGCTACATAAATTGATAAAGGATTAAGGCTTCGAATAACTGCACAAACACGTAAATCAAATTTCAATCCATCAGAAAGTAGATAGGGATCAGGCATACATGCTTGAATAAGTTGGCGATTATAATGTGTTTGTAATAATTCTGATGGTGAACTAATTAAATAAATTCCAGTTCCTTGAGCACCTTAAATGTTATTTAAATAATATTAAGGGTTATCTCTTTATCATTTTTCTACTACCATCATCTGGTTTAACAAAATCAAAAGTTAAACAATTTCTGAAGGAAAAGTTCACCATAGAAACAATTGCTTGGGTAAGTGTTACTTTCCTTGCAAGTTCAGTCATTCCTATTTTTAAAAAATATTTTTGACATTAAAAAACAAAATTTGCCTGAAAATTTATTTACTCGAGCACCAAATTCTATCTGAGGTCCCAAGTTCTATCTGAGGTCCCAAATTTTAAACCGTATTAAATGCGGCAAAAATGGTTCTAATAGTTTAGTAATGGCATAAGATTGTTTCAGGAGCGCGCTTGACATTTGGAGGTAAATATCTGATTTTTAGTCAACGAAGTCAGAGAACACGAATTCGACAAGGACACGAATTCGACCAAGTCTAACATGGGGTAAAAATTCAAAATTTCAAATTTTATGTCTAATCGGACTTGTCTCTTCGAGATGAGTCATTTGGCATCAAAATTATTACGTTTCGACATCTTTAGATTAAGTTATGGTGTCTGATTTATATACGGAATTTTGATCTTCGAATTCCTACCCTGAATTCGACTTGGTCGAATTCGGTCCGGGGTTCGAAATATACAAATTCTAAGCACAGATTCGGACTCAGCAAGCTCGATTACCTTCTGGCATGCCTCAAAAATGTCAAACTTGTACTTTTTCCTTATTTTTCTAGGGACCAGTAAAGTTGAAGATTAACTAAAAATCATAGATATTCATATCCAAATGCCAAGCACGCCCCCGAAACAATCTTTTTATGCCATAACTAAACTATTAGAACCATTTTTGCCGCATTTAATACGGTTTAAAATTTGGAACCTCAGATTTTTTTTAAAAGATCACCACCACCTTTTTGCACGAGATGTTCAATACTAAATTTATCAAGAGATTTTCCATGTGAAGAGGGTTAAGTTATCACTTGGGGAGAGAACCCAGCAAATATTAATTTATTTAATCAACATAAATATTCTCTTTATTTTTCGAAAAAATGCTTATCTAGTTTATAAATTAATTAAAATAGTAAAGAAATTAGGTATAAAATATTTTAAAATCATTCGAGCAGAGAAAAAGCTGATAAACATATGCATTCTACTATACATATGTATTATAAAAAAAAATAAAATAATTTTAATTATTAAAATTAAAAAATAAATTGTATTTTTTAAATTTATTTCCGCATTTATTATAGCGACAGTCAAAAAAAAATGAATAATTAGAAAAATAATAATAAAGTCAAAATAAATAATCATAATAATAAAGTAAATAATAATGTCTAACAAGAATCAAATCAAAAGGTTCACTTGAAAAACGAGAAAGCTAGTTGGGATGGGGTGGGGGATGTTATGTCCGAGGGTATACGAATGTCGACGTGCAATTGATTAACAGTTTATCCAAAAGAGAAATGACAATGTGTAGGCGAAGGGATAGAGTAGGAACAGACGAAGGAGATCAGGGACTAGCCGGGCTAGTATGATCCAAGTAGACTGACGACTAGCGTGGCTTTTATAGTAGTGTCACCACTACACAACAGGGGAAAGGGTAGTTTGTGGGGAGAGAGGTGGTGGGGAGAGGGTAGGTGGTGGAGAGAGGGTAGGTGGTGGAGAGAGGGTAGGTGGTGGAGAGAGGGTAGGTGTTGGAGAGAGGGTAGGTGGTGGAGAGAGGGTAGGCGGTGGAGGTAGGGTAGGTAGGCTTTTATGTAGATTCCAAGTGAACCTTTTGATTCGATTTTAAATTTTTAAATAAACAAAAAAATCCAAAAAAAAACATGTCCATAATAATTTTAATTTTTATTAACCTCATCCTGTCATTCAAATAAATTTTTTATTTCTACTTCAGCTCTTAGAATATCTGCACTTGGTGACGTGGAGTCGGCCTAAATACAAATAAAAATAAATAAACAAATAAATTTGATTCACGAATATCGCCGAATTGACATAAGTTTTATATTCAGCAAATACATATGTTTACCGCTCATTAAACATAAAAAAATTTTATGTGTATAAACTGTGAAATAACCGAAAAACCATAAAAGTGCTCAAAAGGCTGAATGAATTAAGATGTTTTTGCAGGTTAACCATTTGATTTTCCCACGCGGGTTCGAATCCGAGACCCAATTTTTTTCAATTTTAAGGTCACATTATAATCAAGAACTCGTCGAGATAAGTTGAATGACACACCAATGTCAGCCTTTACATCAGGCCTACGCGGTTTTTTCCACCGTAGGTTGTTGAGCATGTCGAGAGGAATGACGTCCTCCACTTCGCTACCGTTGCCACGAACGAAACGAGGACCGCAGGGAGTTTCTCCAGCGAAAATTCAATTGATCATAACTTTGTTCAGAATTATCAAACCCAGCTGATAATTTGACCATAAAAAAGTTTGGGTCGTGGGTTCGAAACCACGCGGTAAGATATATTTTTCAATCTCAAAAAACACCTTAATTGCACCTTTTGAGCAATTTTATGGTGTTTTTCAGTTATTTCACATTTTGCTATTAACAAAAATATAATTTTCAATGTATTATTAAGCAAAAGTCACACCCATAAGGGAGTTATTAGTTTTATAATACATACCTAGTTTTTTTAATTTTAATACTTAAATTTAATTTTATACTTACCTCTATGACAACATGCATTTCACTTCCTTCACGTCGTACATGGATTTTGCATCCAGTTGTGCGCTCCAGGTGTTTATGTAAATACCATTGTTGGAGCCCTATTCGTTCATAAAATACCTAAATTTTAGATTAATTAAAATTTATATTACATATTATAAGATTATTACCTCCTGACGTTCCTTAGGAACAACAAGCTTTATTTCTCGATTACTTTTCATTAATGGTGTAGGTCTGGTTTGATTAATCTTGAATAATGGAGGTCGTCCGTAGGTTGAATGTGGCTTCTCATTTTCTAACTGAAATGTAGTTCTTAAAATTTTGGTACTACTCCGTCATCCTACAAATTTCTTTCCAGAATAGAAAGGTCCACACCATCTGGTCAACTCCCAGTGTTAATTTGAACTCCCAACTGATAATTTGACCATAAAAAATTTTGGGTCGTGGGTTCGAAACCACGCGGTAAGATATATTTTTCAATCTCAAAAAACACCTTAATTGCACCTTTCGAGCAATTTCATGGTGTTTTTCAGTTATTTCACATTTTGCTATTAACAAAAATATAATGGAAAAATTTCGGAATACTAAACAGAACACAAATGGGTCAAGTGATATGTCATTCGAAAGAGCTCGTCGAGTTGAGTCGAAAGGTGAAAAAAATTTCGTGCGGCCAAAAAAGTGCTTGGTCCCCCATGGTTTTTCGATTTTCGAGGGCCTATATCTCAGCCCATAGGTGAGTCCCCCAGCTAATTTTGGTGCCGTTCGACTCAGCTTGGCGAGATCTTTCGAATGACATATAGTTTGACCCATTTGCGTTCTGTTTAGTATTCCGAAATTATACCAAATATAATTTTCAATGTATTATTAAGCAAAAGTCACACCCATAAGGGAGTTATTAGTTTATAATACATACTTAGTTTTTTTTAATTTAATACCTAATTTTAATTTTATACTTACCTCTATGACAACATGCATTTCACTTCCTTCACGACGGACATGGATTTTGCATCCAGTTGTGCGTTCCAGGTGTTTATGTAAATACCATTGTTGAAGCCCTATTCGGTTATAAAATACCTAAATTTTAGATTAATTAAAATTTATATTACATATTATAAGATTATTACTTCCTGACGGTCCTTAGGAACAACAAGCTTTATTACTTGATTTTTCATTAATGGTGTAGAGCTGGTTTGATTAATCTTGAATAGTGGCGGTCGTCCGTAGGTTGAATGTGGCTTCTCGTTTTCTAACTGAAATGTAGTTCTTAAAATTTTGGTACTACTCCGTCATCCTACAAATTTCTTTCCAGAATAGAAAGACCCCCCACTATAGTATATGGTTGTTGGATCCGGATATCCGAAGATTTCCAACTATCGTACAACCCTACTATAGTGAGGCCTGGCTGTAGTTATTCATATATTTTTAATGATAGTGACGTCGCTCGCTTAAGTCCCTCGGCACATAGGTCACGGTGCAAATGTTCACGGCCGCAAAAGTCACGGAACCTATCCCAAATAGAACCTATCCCCACATTTAGACTAAAAAATTTTATACCTTTCCACGTTTTAATTTCTCCATTTCATTGTTTAATTACATATTTTTTCGTTTCAATGAAGAATTGGTTTCCGTCAACTATAAAAAAATATTTTTTATAAAAATAAAAATTGAAATGATTTAAGGAGAAACTGATCTTTGAGAGCTTAGTGATTTATTCTATCTACTATGTTTTGGTTTAAATCAAATTCTATGTTTTGGTTTAAATCAAATTCTATGTTTTGGTTTAAATCAAATTTTATAATAAATTTATGTACAGTCTGGTGCATAAGTATATGATCAAGGGTGTGTAAATTTTAGTTTTGCTTCGCCTCGCTGGTAAATCGCAAAATTTTAAAACTTTTTTATTTTATATTATAGCATTTTTTGTGGGCTTTAAGATGATGATAAATTTATAGAAAAATATTTCTATTTCAAAAAGTTATGATTTTTTAAATGAATTTACCCCTATTTTTGTTGGTGCAAAAGTTTACGATCAAAACTTTAAATCTCATTTTTTTCAAAAAATTTCACATCTAATATTAAAATAATTTGTTTTTATTTTAGCTTAGACATTTATAAATCTAAAATAATTTCAACTCCGGTAAAAGATGCCATTGTCGGAGCAAAAAAGTTGGTCAAACTGAGTGTACATTTCGAACTTTTCAACTACATTTCCAACTTTTACTGCGTCTCCAACTTTTCGAAGAAATTTTTTTGAGGTCTGTAAAATATATATGTGATTCTCCTCTAGATTCTACATACAATACAAAAAAATCGGTAATTCCAAGGCTGGTCCCCCCCCCTTTTTTTCCTTTCAATTTTTTTCGATTTTTTAAACTTTTTATGCAAATTATATATCATTCGAAAGAGCTCTTCAAGCTGAGTAGAACGGTGCTAAATTCATCGAAATCCGACTTAAATAAACATAGTTATGACCATTTGTTTTAATCCCTTTCAACACCACAAAAAGCATGTCCATCAAGGATTTATCTTCATAATTTGGTTCAAAATCGACAAATCTATCCGATCATAGTATCATTCTACTCAGCTCGAACAGCTCTTTCAAATGATATATTGTAAATTATATTTAAAGCAAAAAATCTCAAAATGGTCAGGCGAACAGAAAAAAAGGGGGGGGGGACCAGCCTTGGAATTACCAAAAAATCATCTAAATTGGTCGAGATTCGACCGAGTTATGAATTTTTGAAAATCGAAAAAACACGATTTTTTTACGAAAAATGGCAAAAATATGTTGTTTTTTCGATTTTCAAAAATTCATAACTCGGTCGAATCTCGACCAATTTAGATGATTTTTTTGTATTGTATGTAGAATCTAGAGGAGAATCACATATATTTTTTACAGACCTCAAAAAAATTTCTTCGAAAAGTTGGAGACGCAGTAAAAGTTGGAAATGTAGTTGAAAAGTTCGAAATGTACACTCAGTTTGACCAACTTTTTTGCTCCGACAATGGCATCTTTTACCGGAGTTGAAATTATTTTAGATTTATAAATGTCTAAGCTAAAATAAAAACAAATTATTTTAATATTAGATGTGAAATTTTTTGAAAAAAATGAGATTTAAAGTTTTGATCGTAAACTTTTGCACCAACAAAAATAGGGGTAAATTCATTTAAAAAATCATAACTTTTTGAAATAGAAATATTTTTCTATAAATTTATCATCATCTTAAAGCCCACAAAAAATGCTATAATATAAAATAAAAAAGTTTTAAAATTTTGCGATTTACCAGCGAGGCGAAGCAAAACTAAAATTTACACACCCTTGATCATATATTTATGCACCAGACTGTATAATTAAAATACCGTTTTATTTTGTTCTTCCAATAATCGTAATTTTTGCACATCTTTTGAATTACGTTCAAGCTAAAAAATAAAAAGTTTAACCTTAAACGTTTAGAGTTTAACCTCGGCAAATTTTGTTTGCAAATTTCCATTCAAAATAATTAATTCCTCATTTTTTTTCTTCTCTTCACTTAATTCTTTTTCTTTAATTTTAATAAAATCAAGAGCACATTTCTTGTCTGCTTCAAGATCAGCAACTTTATTTTCAAGATTGTCAACTTTATTTTTAATGTCCTAAATAAAAATATGTAAATTGAAATAACTTTAGGAAAAAAGGAGAAGGATGGGGATGACCTTAATTTCTAAGCTTAGAATATACTTTAGCCGTTGGCCCACTCAGAAACGGGTCAAATTACGTACCATTCAATTCGTCTCGGCGAGCTGAATTTCGGATCTTCGACTTTTAGGGCCAATATCTCGGTTCAATCAAGTCGGAATTCGTTATTTTCGTGGCATTCGACTCATTCGACTTTTGAATGAGCTATTATTTGCATATTCTGAGTAAACCAGCGGCTAAAGTATATCCTAAGCTGCTTTTAATTATTAAAATATTTCAAATCCCCAAAAAATAGTTATCACATCGAGAAATTTGACATAATTCGTATTGCATGACAAGTGTTTATAAGCTCGTACCACAATTCGTACTCGTACTTAGGTTCGAAATACGAGGCCAAAAATAGGCCGGTTCGAAGTACGAGTACAAGGCCTAAATTCAGCTCGTACTTGGGATTATTGGAAAATTCAAACACCCTTATACGACCGGGTGGTTCAGGTGTTAGGCTTCACAAAGATGTTATTGATTTAGAGGAGGGTTCGCTGATGGTCAGAGGGCAAGGTATTCACATATTTTTCTTTCCATAAAAAACTTATTTTATAAGTTTAATTTTTTTAAGAATTGACGATTTTTACAAGGAGGAATTAAGGGTTTTTGTCACTCTAAAATTCTTAAAAATTTTCTTTGTACCATAAAAATTGGATTTTTTTGCCTAAGGCCTTCCGAAATTTTCAAAATTTTCGCCTGCAGCGCAGGAAAAGGAAGACTTAGGATTAATGGCTTTAAAGCCTTTCAAGATTCAAAAATTAACGCATACGACACCATAAATTTAAAACTAGATGTTCTGGACTCCAAAAAATCATAAAAATCTTATTTTTTCGTTTTTTTCTCAAGTACAGTACGAGGCCAAAAATAGGCCTGTACAGAGTACGAGTAAATCTGAACCTTATAAACACTGCATGACATAAAACATATTTAAAAATGAAATTACACGATAAAAGTACCTTATATTCCATTGATTTCAGTTCATATTCCATTGATTTCAACAAATTTTTTGCCAATTTTGCGTTTTCTTCACATTTTTCAAGTAATTTTTCAGAAATTTCTTTTTTATCTTTCTTCAAATTTTCAATTGTAATTTTTGCATTTTCCAATTCTTCTTTTAAATTGTGTGTTTGATCTGATTGACTTTGCTGAAAATATTAAATTGTAAAAATTTGTATCTCCTCGAATAATTACCCCCACCCCTCAATTATCTACTCACAAATATATACCCTTAAATGGTAACATTATAATGCCCGTAAAAATTTCGGTATACGACACAAACTAGGTCGATTAATTTGTACTAGGTCGATTACTCCTCGGCATCGGTCGGTCTTGAATTTTGCACTCAGGGGCTCAAATTAGTTGTATAAGTAAAGTGACATGAAAGAATATTGGTAGCCCAAAGCTCACTGGATTGCCCCCACCCCAGTCCGCAATTTAGTTGAAGTACGGGGAAAATGGTCGAGACAGGCAATAAAAAACAAAGATGCCTGAATTGAAGTAAGAGTAAGTGAAGGTGAACAAAGGCAAATTTTTTAAACTTTTGGAAGGAAAAAATGACTGACCATTCCGTATTTCAATGGTCAGGGGGGTGGGAATAAGTACGAAAAATCTTAGATTTTTTGCTTTTTTCTCAAGTTAGCTCTCTTATCGAATTAAATCTCAAATTTTTTTAAATCTTCACGGCTTCAAGAGTTTATTTACCTCAAAGTTAAATTCTGAAGTCCCATGAAAATAATCAAGATTACGAACATAATTTTCATTATATGACCATATCGGGTCAAATCCAGGAGCAAATGCGCTAAAAAATTAAACTGAGTTTTTAAATAAATAAATTTTTCACATATGAACTCGAAGGCTATATAAGGTTCCGGGTACAGGCGAATTCCCGTTTTTATCAGAAAATCCGTCGGCTGGCAAATCATGAATCTAAGGAAAAAATTTAGGGAGTAAATTTTGAAAAATTTTTAGAAAATATCCAGCGGAAGACTTTGTTGTCCATACAAAGGACAAATTGGTAATGCAACTTTTGAATCTTTATGTTGTAACGATGAAAATAAGGATAAGTTTGGTGCAAAATATATAGGCAATGATACCTAAAAAAATAAAAAATAAAAGAGCGAACAAAATTCCTTTAAATTCACCTCAATCAAAGTAAATCCTTCCTCAGCTCGAATTAAAATTGTTGGAATAAATTCATCCATTAATTTCCAATAAGTCGTAGTTATTGCTGAATGTTCATCCTTAACACGCACTTGGCGATACCTTAAGTTTAAACTGTCTCTATTAAGGTCTATTTAAATGTTTTGTTCAAATTAAAGTTTATTTAAATGTTTTGTTCAAATTAAAGTTTATTTAAATGTTTTGTTCAAATTAAAGTTTATTTAAATGTTTTGTTCAAATTAAAGTTTATTTAAATGTTTTGTTCAAATTAAAGTTTATTTAGATGTTTGTTTTAACAATTAGGGTTAATTATTGCAACTTGAATGTTTTGTTTAATGCTTGCATTCAAGTTCATTTAAACAAATTCATTTAAACATGTTTAAAAACATGTTTATTAAAAAACATGTTTTTGTTGTCTTCATGTTTTGATTGAATTAAACATGTTTAAAAACATTTCTAAAAACAAGTTTAAAACTTCACGTGTTTGTCAATGTTTACAAACATGTTTATTTAGATGCATGTTTTAGCGGTTTGTTTATGACTGTTCAACACAACTAAAACATTGTTTGTTTTTAGCTGTTAATGTTTATTTAAACATTGACAAACATTCTCATGTTTTAATTTAATTAAAGTTTATTTTACTCACCAACGGCCAGTTTCAAAATGTTCGTCTAAATTCCACGGACAAATAAAGGTGCGTTGTGGTCGATCTGAATTTTAAAAATTTATAACTAGGGTAATTAGCAAAATTCTCCGGAAGCCCCAGAATTATAAGAAAAGATCCTTATTAATTCCGTTTCTTTTACATGAGAAAATTAACAGTTATATGAGACCGTACCTAACACAACCAGATGAGCTAATTTAAAACGTCCATTTTTCGTCACGCCAACACAAATTCCAATATTAGGGAGAAGCATTCTCTCATCACCAACATTCATTATTAAATAATACTTTTTAAATTTAATAGTCTTAAAATTTTGAAAGCTAAAAACAATTTTTAAATCGGAGTCTTAAAAAGACTCCGATTCATTTTTTTGAGTTTTCTAATTTGGTTAAAATAGATATTTACAAAAACCAATTTATAAAAAACTTGCTGAGAAAACTCAAAAAAAAAAAGTGAAAAGCTAGACAATCCATTTTTGTTACAACATCTCACTTAGACAAAATATGCAACACATTTTTGTAAAAAGAGAAAGTGTATTGAAAGGGGTGAATTTATGTGAATGATTTGGAAAGGGAAGAAGCGAAAGTCTTCTTTTAAAATAAAACATTTTTACCTATGTAATTCACATAACAGGCAAAAAAGAAGATTATACAAATACGCATTTATTAAGATGTAGGAGAAAAAACATTTTTTCAAAAGGAAACAAAAATAATTAAAAAAATATGTAAATAGTAGAAAAAGACAAAAATAGATTGCCGATTTGTGAAAAATCGTTATGCCAAAAAAACATAACGCCATAATTGTTTAAAATTTAAATAAAAAACATTGATCTGTTGTACGTTGGGACGAATTCGCGGGTTTTGTTCAAGGGGAGTTCGGAGAGATTTAGGGTCTGAAAACATTTTTAATTAAAAAAATTTGCGGACAAAAAATTTTTGCGGACAATTTTTGTGGATTTTTCTTTTTGTGATTTTTAAGAAATTATTTATGTGGCATATGAGATTTTTAAAATTAAGGTCTGATCTCATTTTAAGATACCTCTCGGGGTTAAAAAAACCGTCCCGTATAGTAAGGTTTGTCAGGAATTTCACGTATTGAAGAAATATTGTGTTTTCGGTCTATTAAAAAAAGGTTAGGTTTTTAAATAGGTTCCTGGTTTCGAGTAAGCTATAACATGCCGAGGTATATATTAAATCGTGGTGTTTCGCTTTGTCTATACAATTCTAATGAAAAATTTGTTTTGCGGACAAAAATTTTTTTGCGGACAGATTTTGCGGACATTTTTTTATTTTTCTTAAAAAGTTTTTTTTATTTTTTCAGTTAGAATTCCACCCATTCGACAGTTTAATACCTCTAAAATTGAAAGAAATTCCTTCAAGAAATTATGACTCAGCAAACAAAATTTGGAATTTTTTGTTGAAAGATTATTGAAGTGGCCAAAAATAAATTAAATCAATTACGTTCAAAAAATGTTTTGGCAAAATTTGATGAAATTCCTAGTGGAGTTAGAAAGGTTTTTTAAAATAATTTTTGTGAATAAATGAAATTTTGGATTTTTTTCATTAGAGGAAATTCCGTCTGCATATTTCAAAATTTTATTTGCGGACAAAGCTTTTTTTATTAAAAATTCGCAAAAATTTTGCGGACAATTCTTGCGGATAATTTTTGCTGACATTTGATATAAAAGTTTTTTACTTTAAAAAATCCGCAAAATATTTGCGGATTTTTACTAAATGAACATTTTAGTAAACAAGTCCGCAAAAAATATTCTGCTAGTAAACCCATATTTTTTATTTATTTGTTAAGGTGGTCGGATCAATTGGAATTTATGCTGAGTTGACTGTTATTTATGGCGTCGCAACTTTTAATGATTGCAAAAATGCTAGAGAGGAATTAATTAAAGAAGTGGCTGAAGCAAAAGAAGTCTTGAGGAAGACAGGAATTATTGAGTGATTTGGGGGTTGTTTAAGGTTTTTTTGATATTTTATTTTTAAAATATTTAATAATTTATAAATGTTAGTCAGAATATTTTTGATTTTTGGTATCGTTAATTAAACGATTTTTAATATTTTTTATCATTTGTTTTTTGCGGACAGATTTTGCAGATATTTTTTGCGGACCTTTTTTACAGACTTTATTGCGGTCAATTTTTGCAGACTTTTGCGAGCAATTTTTTGCTACAAATTGTTGCGGACATTATTCAGATAAAAATAGTCCGCAAAATTTGTACGCAAATTTTTTTTAATTTCTAAAGATATTCGGTTTAGATTTTTATAAATAAAAAATGACAGGCCAACAATGAAGACAAGTCCAACAGCAAAACAATTGCTGATTCAAAAACGACAAACTCTTCGCAGCCTGATCCGCTTTTCTGTGAATACAAGGATTGCAAGCTTCGTTTTGATATAAATGTGAGGTTTGTTTAGTTTATTTTTCTGGGGGTTTCTGATTGGTCCAGGTCCGAGTGCCCACTGCTATCTAACCACTTTAAGATACCCCTTTGGTCTGAAACGGACCTTACTTTATAATGAGGTTTTGTTTCAAATAGAAGGTCCAGAATCTTTTCCTGAAATTGGGAGTGGTAACATCGACTCAGCTCGTCGAGACGAATCGAATGACATGCCACGTCCCGAACTTTTATCTCCGGTACACTACACTACAGCCGAAAGAAAAAAAGGGGAAACAAACTTAACTATTGTTTTTTGAATTTGCCCTTTAACTTTGCTTGTTTTTCTAGGTTTGTTGGAAAGTTCAAATTGGCGATGCTATCAATTCTGATAAACTTCGTGAAATCTTTTTTGCATTTGGAGATTATTTCGGCAAAATCAATGGAGGATAATGATGGAAAGCCTAGAGGTTTTGGTTTTGTTGCTTTCATGGATCATGAGAGCGCGGCTCGATCGGTGGAGGAAATGAATGAAAAGGAAGTTCCTGGCCGCGCAGATTTACATTTTACTGTCTTGCCGTGCACAGAAGAAGAGTGAACGCCAATCTGAACTAACATCGCTATGAACAATTCAAGGCTGATCGTATTCGACGTTTGCAAGTTGTCAATCTTTATGTGAAGAATTTGGACGATACAGTTTTGGATGATGCTCTTCGTATACATTTGAATAACATGGAGCTATTGCTAGTGCTAAGGTTTTTTTAAAGATTTTTTGATTGAAAAATGATTTTTAAAAATTTTTTGTAGGTCATTTGTGACGAAAGTGGACGTTCTAAAGGATTTGGTTTTTTTGCTTTGAGAAACCTGACAATGCGACTAAAGCGGTTGTTGAAATCTATAATAAAATTATTGGGAACAAACTACTTTATGTTGCTTTGGCTCAGCGCAAGGAGGATCGTATGGCTCAACTTGCTAATCAATACATGCAACGCTTGGTTAGTTTTTGGATGTTCGAGGTTATATTTTCAATTTTAAGGCTACTATGCGTATGCAAAACCCTCCTGGAATTATGGAAACAATGTATGCACCTGCTAGTGGAGGATTCTTCCTCCTCAAGCTCTTCAAAATAAGCGCATGCACCATTTATACAATCTGCAAACATACCTGGAGCTCAATTCCGTGGAATACAGCTGCTTTGGAATGGCGGTTTTAGACGTTTGTCTTTCTTTGAGAATTGACAATAAACTTATTTTTAGACCAATGCAAGGCTACATGATGTGACAAATGCTGGGGGCCCTTATGCTAATCAGGTCGCTTGTGATTTTCGTGGCGGTGGTGGTATGGACGGACCTGGCGAATTTGTGGTCCGAAGACGATCAGCAACGTCAGCAGCAACAGTCTCGTATACTGGAAAGGCTGCTCAGCAAGGTCAAATGCGTTATCAGGTTTTTTCTATGTTTTTAGTCTCGTGTAGTATTTATAAAATTTGTTAAAGGGCCCGCCAAAAACCGTGCAATAGACTAATGCTGTCGCATATTCTTGCTATTCAAACCCGATGAATCAACAGCGTGGTCCGCAGTTGTCTGGAGGTGGAGCTGGACATAGAATGGCTGCTGCAAATCCAGAAAATTCTACAAACCAACTTTTGACTGTTAACAACGTTTGAGGTTTATCTAATAAAATGTTTTGATTGAAAAAATTATTTTTTAAATTTTTAGGTGCAGAAGCAAATTCTTGGTGAGCTGCTTCATCCAATGGTATCTCGTTATTGCCGCGGAGAAGATGATGGAAAGATCACTGGAATGATTTTGGAGAATGAGAATTCGAATTTTTGGTATTTATAAAAAAATTTTGGGTAAAAATTAAATTAGGCATCTGGTAAATTTTCGGGGTCGGAAGTTAAAGTAAATAAGTTCCTACAACTACTTAAGGACAATTTATTCATCGACAAAATATTTCTCAGGAAAAACAATCAACAAAACATTAATTAGAACAAAGACTTTCTCCTTCTTCAAACTTTATAGTTTTCATACAAAATGGACATTTAAAACTATTTAAATGTTCTGTACTAATTTGATTTGTATTTACCCATTTAATTAAACAAACTTGATGGAAATAATGTCCACAGTTAGGTTTAATAATTTTTTGACCATTTTCAGTTTCTTTTCCACAGAAACATATATCTTCTTTAGAAATTTGATTTTTATATTTAAAACTTTTTTTAATAACATTATCAATAATATAATGACGTAATTTTGCCTTAAAATAAATTAATTATTTCAAAAAGATTTAAAGGAATTTATGTAGTTTATCATTACCCCGCTGTAGTATTTTTGGGGAAATCCTCGCTACGGAGCAGAGGTGGGTCGGAACAGTCCAAGGTGTCTGAAATCAGAAGAGCCGGAAATCGGAACTGGCTCAAAAGTCGGAATTCGGAAATCAAATTTTTGGAAATCTGAAGGAAAAAAACGTCGGAAATAGGAATTCCGACCCACCTCTGCTACGGAGTAAAATTAAAAACAATTCTATTTACCACAATCCCTCACCCTTATAATTATTGAAATAATTTTTTATTAAATTATTATTTTAATTTTTTCTTATCTAAATATTTAATTAAAAAATTTACATCATAATTTTTATTTATTGTTTCTTTAATATATTCCATTTCAGAAAGTACATTCTGAAAATAAGTTGCAATATAATAAGATGCTTGATCAGTTCTCAGTGACATTATATCATCTTTAAGATCTTCATAATCGCCTTCAATTCCAGCTGAATTCATAGCTCTAACAAGAAGTTCTTTATCCTATAATTTAAATTAAAAAATTTTTTTTAAAGATAATAATTTGTTAAATAATTTTGGCTTAGGTTAATGACATTAAAAAAAATTTTTTTACATTTAATGGACTTCTAAAGATTTGTCTTCGTTTATTATACATTTTAAACATTTTATTATAATCTTCATATAATTCTCCATATCGGTCTCCATAAGACTCATCTCCATAAGTATAAGACAGTCTTAAATAGTCTTCATCGGTAAATGCATTTATATTTTTAATTAAACAAATAAATAAAATAAAAATAAATAAAATAATTAATTTAATTAATTTAAACATTTTTTTAAATTTAATTTTTAAATGAATTTAAATAAAATTAATTAATTTTAAAGCTTATTTTATATTAAAATTTTTGGCAATTTTTTTTAAATTTTCTATCATGCGCAAGAAAAATTTCCTTTACCCTTGCGTTTCACCTTAAGCCTGCCCACACATTTTTAAATTATTAAAAAAATTATTTTAAATTGGCATTTCCGTTTTTATTTTAATGACTCGAGACTTGATTAAATTAATTTTTTAAATCTCGAAAAAATTTTTATTGAAAAATATTAGTTAATTAAAAATATATTTTTTATTGTTAAAATCAACATTTTTAGTCTAAAAAATTTAAATTTAATTTTAAAAAATTTTAAAAATTCTTCTAAAAATTGAAATGTTTTATTCTCTAAAAAATATTAAATAAAAAATTAATCAAGTAAAAATAAATTTAAATTTAAAAAACCTCAAGAAATAAATTAGATAATTAAATGACCATGTTCAAACCATGTTATTTTACAAGCATTTTATCCCTCCCATTTTAACTATTTAATTCCTTTGTTTTCATGGGAAAAGTGTTCCGTATTGTTAGTTTTCCCTTTTATTCCATTATTATGTTTTAGCTAACTTATATTAATATTAGTATTTTCCTAGTTTATGAAATAAAGCGCTTTATTACTTCGGTGTGTTCGGTGTGGAGAAGATTTCGAATACTTGATCAACCATAAGGAACTTCTAGTATTGTCCCGATCACATCTTCCCCGTTACAATATCCCTTAACATTGGGTATGGTTCAGCCGCTTCGGCGCAGAGGTTAGGGAATTAATGGAATTAAATAGAAGGAAAACACTCCACTAGGGATCCCATTTTACTATAATTAAATCCTCAAAAATAATTTTTCAATTAAAATTATTTAAATAAATAATTCTCGAGACTTTAATTAATATAATTAAAAAAATTCCCGAATTGAATTTCTCGAGAAAAAATTTTTCTTCTCCTTACTACTACTTCCGGCGCCTTTCTCCCTACCTGCTACTATTCCTACGCCTTTCCATTGTTCTATTTAAAATTTTGATTTTTTATTTTAATATTTTACTCCCACTCGTTTAAACTTTTAATTATTTTTATTAAATGCCTTGTCCTTTTATTTATTATTTTGCAAATAAATAATAAAAGGATTTTTTTAAATTTTGAATCTCTTTATATTTATTTAATTTTTTTCTCTAATATTTTTTATTTAATTTTAAATTTAATAAAAAATTAAAATAATATTTTTTATTAGTTCAATTAATAAAAATAAAAATTAAATTTTAAAAAATAAAAAAATTTTTCACTTTTTAGTAATTATTTGATCAATTTTTTAAAGTTTTTAAAAATTCATTTTGTAAAGCAATAGTTACCGTATTTACTCTAGTAATTTTTCAGGGGGATTATTGTTTCAACCTATCGCTAGGGTGGGGAATTAATAGAGACTGGAGAATTACTAGATAATATCTTAAGCAAGAATGATAAAAAATCATTAAATTTTTATTGTTTTTAAATATCTTTAAAGCATTATCTATAAAATTGCTAGAAAAATTTTTATGCCCAAGAACTTTATCAAAAAACAGGTTTTAATTAGCACTAAAATGGCTATGGTTAAGTTAATAAAGCTTTAACAACTCCTTTTATGGGTACACGACTAATAGGACGAATAGGCGCCATTTTTTCGGCGCAGCATGTTTTCTGCGTCGAGGGGAAAAAATTTAAATATACAAGTAATAGTTCATTTGCATGAGTTAGACGAGCTGAGTCGATGATACCGAAACCAGCTTGATTCGAAATTATGCATAAACTTATGACCAACAGAATCTTCGCTGGAAAAACTGTTTTTATGCTGCTACGGAGGAAGCCGAGCATGGTTTTTGCTACACGATGGCCGTGCTCGCTTCGCTCACGGCGACCGTAGCGAAGCGGCGGCATGCCCGGCTTCCTCCGCAGCGGCAAAAACTTTTTTCCGCGTAAATTGATGTGTTTATCTGTTTTTGCCTTAAACGCCGAAAATAGGCAGCGCCGAAAAAATGGCGCCTATTCGTCCTGCTCCGCCTTTTATAATAAGATACGTATTATCTCTAATAGAATGCCCGGGCATTCTATTTTTCAATCACCTTCCAAAGGGGCATTCTATTGGAAGGGGGCATTCAAATGGAGGGGGGCATTGTATTTTTCGATGACTAAATTTAAAAATTAGAAAAAAATTTACTTGCTAAGTATATCGAAACAACTAAAATGTGAAAAGCGACCAGCATTTTTTACAACAAATTTCGGTCAAAATTTGAATCGAATACCTAATTTGGAAAGTATTTTCGAATATTTCGACAAAAATATCGAGTATTCGATCGAATTTCGAGTATAATTTAAAAATTTCAACAAATTCGTTGATTTAGAAGTATTAAGAGTGTAGGGATTAATGAGGAATCAATCATCATCGGATTAAAAATGATTATGGTGGATATTAAGATTGAAGTGATATGGGGGGATAAGAGGTTATTTAGGAGAAATTGAGGGATTATTATGTATATAAAAAGTATATAGGGTCAAGAGTGATCAGGATAATTTTGAATTATATCCAATTAACTCGCCAAATTCCCTTTATCCCCTCTAAATCACGGTTATTCCGTTAACTACACTATCATTCCAAATCCCAATAATCCCTCTTTATACTTTTTCTTCTAATACTTATTGTTAGAATTCAAATCCGACTTAATATCCAATATCCCTCCAGATCCCCTAATATCCCCAATATCTATTGCGTAAAATTTTTTGTGCAACTACCAAATCAATGCTGGATACCGGTAAATTTGCCAACTGTATTAACGGGATTTACGAGATTATACCGCGCCCCTTCCAGTCGGTATTTTGGAAATATACCATCTCCCCACCACATACCATCTCCCCACCACCTACCATCTCCCCACCACCTACCCTCGCCCCACCACCTACCCTCTCTCCACCACCTACCCTCTACCCACCACCTCTTTCCCCACCAACTACCCTTTCCCCCTCCCTTTTCCCAAGTATCTTTCTCGTTTTCCAAGTGAACCTTTTGATTCGATTCTTGTTAGACCTTAGTATTATTTACTATATTATTATGATTATTTGTTTTGACTTTATTATTATTTTTATAATTTTTCATTTTTTGACTCGCGCTATAAAGGCGGAAATAAATTTTAAAAATACAATTTACTTTTTGACTTTAACAATTAAAATTATTTAATTTTTCTTTATAATAGTACAGTACGATGCATGTTTATCAACTTTTCGTTTGTATTTAAAAAGCATTCGATATCAACTTAATTGTTGAAAGCAAATCGGAAACATCAACTATTTGATAAATTAATGTACTTAGTCTAAAAATTAGTTACAAGTAATTACATGACCATTAGAA